AAAGGGGAGGTTTTTGGGGGGAAAAGGGGAGGAGGTTTCTGGGGGGGAATGGGGGGGAGGTTTTCGAGGGAATAGCTTTTTGGGGGAATAGAGGAGGTTTCCGAGGGAAAGGTGGGGAGGTTTTTGGGGGACTAGGGGAGCTTTCCGAGGGAAAGGTGGGGAGCTTTTTGGGGGAATAGGGGAGCTTTTTGGGGGAATGGTGGGGAGCTTTTTGGGGGAACAGGCCAGGCTTTCAGGGAAAAGGTGGGGAGCTTTTCGGGGGAATAGTGCAAGTTTTTGGTTCCTTTTCTATCCCTTTATTTTTTTTTTCCCCCACCCCAAAACGTGAAGGCTGGCGAGGCGCGGGGTTAAACCCCAAGCAAGGGGGCTTGAGACCCTCCCCAGGGCATTTTTGGGGTGGGGGGCAAAACTGTCCCCCCCCAACTCCCCCCCCAGGGCTGTGCTGGCACCACTGGGGGCTTCTGGGCCCCCCCAAAATTTTCCTATCTGTACTGGGAAGCTCCAAAACCCCACTAAAGCTCTTTTGGGGTGGGCGAGGGGGATTAAGACCCTCCCCAGAGCATTTTTGGGGGTGGGGGGCCAAAACTGTCCCCCCCCCAACTCCCCCCAGGGCTGTGCTGGCACCACTGGGGGCTTCTGGGCCCCCCCAAAATTTTCCTATCTGTACTGGGAAGCTTGGGGCATCTGTGGGGGGGACGCTGGGCCCCCCCAGAGGCTGTTTGGGGTGGGGGGAGAGCCTGGGGGGGCTGCTCTGTGTTGGAGGGGGGGTCCCACATTGTTTCCTCTCCCCCCCCAGGTGCTGGGGGGGCTGGAGTCGAAGCCCCCAGGGATTGGGGTGCAGCCTCCACCCTCCAGAACCAAATACCCCCCCCCTCGATGCTCCCCCCAAAAATCCTGGAGGGATTTGGGGCTGGTGGTGAGTGGGTGTTGGGAAATGAAGAGGGGGGGGCTCAGCAGAGATGGTGTCCCCCCCCCGGAGCGGGTCACTCACCAGTCCCTTTGTATTTGTCCACAAAGCAGTATTTCAGCTCGTAGTCGCTCAGCAGATCGTGGATTTCCTGGCATCAA